CGCGTGTACGTGTGCGTGCGTGCGCGTGCGTGCGCGTGTGTGTGTTTGTTTGTTTGTTTGTTTGTTCGTGTGTTTGTGGGTGTATATTTAATAGTACACGATTGATGCAATAGGACAAAAGCTTTCCACAGGCATATCCAAGTTTATTATTATTATTTATTATTATTTATTTATTATTATTTATTATTATTATTTAATATTATTTATTATTATTTATTTATTATTATTTATTTATTATTATTTATTTATTATTATTATTATTGTTATTAAAAGTAATTTATGTAAAATTTCTAAAATTTCTAATATGGTATTATCAAACGGTACGGAGTGGGATTCCAGACCCTCAAACAATAAATATTGGCAACTTTTTATATTATAAATATCCTTGCAGGGGATTTACGCATTATAATCTGCTGAAAATATTTGTATTAGCTTTAAATTTTCCATGCTTCGTGTTATTCGACCTTAAAGCATTTAAAAAATTTTTAAGGAAAATAGTGCCTCGATATGAATAACACGTGATAAACTTGGTTGCTTTAAAGTAATTCTGTTCCAATAAAAATATATATTAATATCACAATCATAATTATTGCGCTTGCACAATAATAGTATGCGATTTTATAAATAATCTAAGCTCGTCAAGTTTACGAAGGAACGCTATAATTATTATCCAGCTCGTCATACTTTTCGATGAAGACATTAATTTTTCATCGGGAGTTTAGTGCACTCGGGCATTTTTTCTTTAATCATAGTTTAATAAGTTCATGCGAGAAAATAATAATTTTCCGATGAAATAAGTAGTTAACGATGATATTGTCCGCTGACATATTTGTATCGCCGATGAATTAATTTTATCGATATTTTAAGAAGACGTTGGAATATCAATCACATGTTTCCGATGAAAAAATTCATTCGAAACCTTGAAAACCGGTTTATTATTCATGACGAAGTAGTTGAAGTTAAATAACAATTTCAGCTTTTTTATGCAATTGAAATGTCAATGCGTTCAAACGCAAACTGGTAATTAATAAAAGCAAAATTAAATACTTTCTGTATAATTAGTAAAAACATTGTCACTAAAAATACTATTTATTAGCATATGCAATAGACAGTTAAAAAATCTGCAATCGATGCATTTGCGCTCAAAATCTAATTACGCAATTGATTTTAACAAATTATTTTATCTATTATACCTTTTAACCAATTGAATAACCAATAGATAATAATGGGATTTGGAAGAAAAAACCATGTCGCTGTAATATTTTTTTTTATCTCTTAGGATTATTAGTATGCGTTATTTTTTTAATGTCAAACAAAATTTGATTGCATCAAGCCATTAAATCCTAATAAAAACAATATTGTTAAGAGCAAAGTTACAAAAAAATTGCATGCAAATTAAGAATGCTTTTTTTTTCTTCTTCTCCGTCTAGAGATTCATTAGATCCCGTCGTCGTACAATAGTTATGCCTAGCTTAGATATGTCGACTATTGTGTCTTTAAAGAGATACGAACCGTAGCGTTAAAGTCATACGATGATGACGTCACAGTACTTTGCTCGAATCAATCATAGAGCGTTGCGAGGCTGCAATGTGACTTCATTATTAAAATAAATGTCTCTGATTTCACCTGCTTTCTTTATGAAATTCAGTTACTATTCAATAATCATGTATGGATTATTTGTCTAATGGATAAATACATTTAAGGTGGTAAAGATAAAATCTATAAATAATATATATGAAATATTCTCATTATCTATTAATGCCTATTAGATCAATGTAATTAGTGATTCAATTAGCTGATGTTATGAGAAACTGATGTTACGAGAAACTATTCTCAAATCGATTAATTTAAAAAAAAATCCTTTTATTATTCTTCAATTACTGCTAATCATGGACGTTAGATACTTAGTATATTTATCGACTCACTTCATTCTGCATTCCCATATAATCAATGTACTCCATTCAAAATTTATTGAAATGAATAATAGCCTACCGGGATATGCCTTAGTCGCAAAAACAAATAAATATTTGAATATTTCAGGTCCGTAAATAATAACGAACGTTACTCTCACATAATAGGATTTAGATCGCGCGATTATTTACGTAAATGCATTTTGTCATACGTGCCTTTCCTTTTGAAATTCTCAAGCTACGCACTAACTCCGACCATATATCTTAATATTATTTCTTAATAAATAAATAAAAACTCTAGTGTTGGAATGTTTAATGAAAAGCTCAGTATTTACGTATGAGCAGCTCATCGCGAATTGTCTTTTTCTCTGCTCGATTGAGGAAAAAATTTGATGGATTTTAGTTTGACGAAAAAATAGGACAAGAATCTTTAATAACGCAAGTGTAGGAAGATAATAATAAATTGTATGCTCGAACAATTTTCATACGATGAAAATAGGTGTTTGTTAAGAATTTTTTTTACTTTTATGAATAAAAAAGCTCGTGCTATTTTACAGTCACGTTATATCCTATTGCAGATGTAAAACTTTTTAAATACAATGTCGCATGCTTATGGAAATTGGAAACTGATTTGCTCGCCAAAAAGATAAACCGATAGAAATTAATATTCTGTATTAATTTCGCGACGAGCACATGCAAGATATCGTTTCAATTATCACTATGCGAAAACGCAAATAAGCTAAGTATGTTATTTAATGTCACGGTGTGTATTGTATTTCAATTTCTATCATCAATATCATTTTTCTACTCCTTTGCCTATGCTTGCACTTACAATTATTATAAAAATATTTAAGATAAAATATTCATTAGTACCTTAAGTACCTTGTAACCGTAAGATTTATTACGTAAGAGATTATGCTGAATCACGGTATATTAAGTTCAATCATTCATATGATTCATATTATCCGATAACCGATACATTCTAAATGATTCAATAAATATTGCATAAATTACTTAATTAATATTATAATTCACTTATCCCGTGTATTATGTGAGCTGAAGAAAAATAAAAATAAAAAAATTAAAAAAAAAAAATAATAAAAAAAAAACAATAAAAAACAATACAAAAAAAAAAAAATGTATCAATTTCTGATAAGGTTTATTAATAATATAAATAACGTTTATTAGCTTTTCTTCTTATAAGTAATTTTCATCCTGGCAAGCCTCGGCCAAATATAGCCGCAAATTTCTCCTCTTAGCGAATTGAAAGTAAAAGTAAAATATATTTCACATTGATATCGCAAAATCTGGATCAATTGGACGTCTGGATCATTTCGAACGACGCGGGAGGTGCAAAATTTAAAACATCATGAATTTCTCACGACAATGAGTGTCCACGTTTTTCGCTCCCTTTTGTTCTTGCTTTGTTTTCTTAGGCGTCGCGGCTTATGAATCGTCTCGAATCAAACGCCATAATGAACCTCAATTGGATTGAATTTGACGGTCATTATTGATTGCCGTAGGGTCATTATAGACAGACCGAGATATATGGGATCCTATTTCTTCGTGAGCGCAATCGAAGAGAAGATAATGCGAATGCCTCGAAGAGTAAATGCAGGCAAAAGTTAATTATTGGTAATTGTTGGCAAATGCTTGGAGGACGATCGAGCAATTATCGAATGCAATTATGCAGCAAGTCCGTGAATTAATATGAAATTTTTGACGTTGCATTTTTCGTCTCCCGAGGAAACTCCGATTATCGAGTAATCGCGGATCCTCGTTTGTATAGTCGTTTTTTTTCTCCTTTTTTTTTCCTTTTTTTTTTTTTTTCTTCTTTTTCTTTTTTTTTTTTTTTTTTAACAATCAGTTTCGTCGCATTAACAATAAAGTCCGTATATCGTGTATACTCCATATTAAAATAAATTTGTTTTTCTAATTACCGTAATGCCATATTTAACCAGCTCGCCGTGGCTGGATAAATATCGTTTGTTTACGACTGTTAAGCCCAAGTTATTTTTAAAACGAATATTCCAAAGCCAAATTTAAATATATTTCTAGTTATTAATGCTGAAGATTGACTAATACATAATTCAATTTTTTTTTTTTTTTTTTTTTTTTTTTTTTTTAAAAAAAAAAAAAAAAAAAAATTAATTTTTTTTTTTTTTTTTTTTTTTTTTTTTTTAAGACATAAGAAGCTGCGTGTATCTACCGAGGCTATCATTATGGTTAATTATTATAATTATAATAACCCTTGCACGCGCGACTATTCTCCATCGTGTTATGTACGATTGCATTAAGCTATCATATTGAAATATATTTGATAATAAACAATGTGATAACGTGCATGGCAATGTTTATCGCGCAAATGGCAAATAGAGTGATAATACCACACTTATTGCGGCTTCTTTACGTAAGATTAATGTCTACATACTCTGCTTAACAACCATCGATCCATGGGCGCGCGTCTGCATTTATTCTCATCCAGTTAAGATGAGAATATCGCTAGAAATGTAATATAAATAAGCCAATGTAAATATAACGCGACGCTGGTCGATAAATATTGACATAATTAGCTGAAACCTTCATTTTATAATAGCGAGTGGTAGTGGTTGTTTGCCATATCAACATATCCAAATATCTCGAGATATACATTGAGCCACGATACCCCACCCGAATCAATCAAGCGCCCATTTCGCGCGCACCCACGCGCGCGCGCCTTTCCAAATTTTCTATATAGTTTCCCCGCCACACTCGCCGCCCGCTCGTAATTTATAGAGTACTTTGAAAATTGAGAAGAAAAATAAATGATGCCCTCGTTACGAAATCTTTTCAATTGAATGAACGCTTTTCATCGAGCCGCGCCACGACCATCCCCTTCCTTTTCTACGATCGTCCGCGATAATGAAAAGGCGAATGGAGCACTAAGGTCCACTCTTAACCCAAAGGTTAATAATCTTTTCTCCCAAGAAGTATCCCATTTAAATTTGGTAAATTTTGTGCCTGCCCCCCCTCCCCCTCCCCCAACCCCCACCCGAGATTTATATATCCGTCGCTAACGAAAGGGCCGACGTCCTTTCTTTGCGCAGGTCAAAGGTGCGAGGAATGCTTCCGAAGTGGTCGTGCGCTATCCTTGGCGGCCTTCTCTTGGTTTGCTCGCTCAAGATCTGCGACGCTGACGAGGAACTTGGCGACAGTTCCGAGCGCAGCCTCGACAGGAGCATCGAGCTCAGCGAGCTCGAGTACGAGGACGCCTGCATCCCGGTAGCCGAGGCCCATTGGAGCTTAACCAAGGATCCCAAGGACACGCAGCTCCTTCAAGCCTGGGTTTGTAGTCTCGCGGCTAGAATGCTGCTAGTGCTTTCACACCTCCAATCCCATGCATTTTTATCCGTTGTTTTATATTGGTCTTTTGATCGGCCATCGAGTCTTTAATGGATTGTTTGTTTAATGGATTTTGGGTTCGGTCGGCCGAATCTTGTAATGCTAATTGAACGGATTCACATCCCAATAAACGAATAAATGATCGAGGCGAGCGTACGTCATTGCACACGGCTTGTCTGGCACTTTTGCGAAGACTCGACTAGCGTATTTGAGTTTTCGTGTTACTTGGCCGGCATGAGGATTCGCTGTAGTCGAAGCCGTTGAGCAATTTTAAGCTTTAATAGATTGAAATTAATCGAGGAGTAATAATAAGGAAGGATGTGTTGAACGACAGAAAGATGCTGCGATCAAGTTTGCGGAGCTAAAGAACGGGGAAAAGCAGCATATGACGAGAAAATTCAAAGCTACTCCCGAGGAATCACCACTCAACTACAAGTTCTCCATTATCAAGTATCCGGGCGATGCGCTATTGAACGAGGCCGATTACAGCAAGGTAATGCCACACTTTATTCATTAACCTAACGATGAAATAGCGATTGAAATCTTACTGACTTGATGAACTTTATGGGGACGCGTTATTGTGCAGCTTATCGCTTTTATCGGCGATCATCGAGTATTGCTCGCGAATACCAGACTACCCGAAGGCGGCAAAAATCTGAGTCGAGAAGGTGAGTGAGCCCCTTTGACACAACGTCCGTCCTTCTTTCCCTCTCGCTTTTCCTCATCAATTGCTTAACATAGCTTAACCGAGCCTGTTATTATTACGCGCAGGAGTGGAATTTCTATTGTCGCATAACGCCAAAGAGGAAAAGAAGTTGGGAGTATGGACGAGTTGGCATCAGCACTTCTCCCCGGAAGCGGACGATTTCCTCAAGGTGCTTCATCTCGCTCAGAAGGCAGCTTTGGCAAACGGTTCGCACCATTATATTACTACGACTAAGCGTGATTTATAAACGTGGCATCGGAGCGCGGATAAAAGAGATGAAAGAGCTTTCGTGAAAGAACTTTCACGCGCTGCGCCTCAAATATAAATGTGGTGGTAGTGGTGGTAGTGGTGGTGGTGGTGGGGGGGCGAGAGGGCCGCGGAGGAGACGCGGAGGAGAAGCACGGATGAAGTACGTGGTGCAGCGGTCACGTGCTCGCCGGGCCGGCTTTTTAACCCGGGCGGGCCTCAGCCTAGTTTACGAGGTGCTTGGCTTTATGGCTGTTTACGGAGCCCCGCCACGAGCTCCGCGTCCCATAACTGTCATCATCGAGGGCCGTTAACCACGCCGTCGCGCACCACTACCGTCCAACGCCTGTCTTCGCCGCCTCTGTATATTTACGAGCGCCGCCACCGCCACCGCCACCACCACCGCCGCGCACTTGTCGAGTCAATTTTACAACCGTTACATATCTTTATGATTAATAAAACGAGACCGGTCGGTAGTGGTGGGAGGGGTGGTGGTGGTGGGGGGGGGGTGCGATAATCTTTACGTTACATTAAATGCTCCGGTAAAATCAACGGGGGGAAAAAAAATACTTCTCAAGTATCGTTTATCTGATGTCATATTTCGAGCAAATTGGATCAGAGGAACAGAGCAATTTGGCTACCTTCGCAGCTTATTTATCGTTCGATTCGCAATGCCCTGGCAAATTTAGCTTACCTTAACTCGACAAATTTACGCCGAGCAGCTTAAAGTCTTTGGTGACCAAGCAATAGACGAACCACCCAAGCACGTTTTACCAACGGCATACGTCATAATTCATAATTCACGTCTTTTAATCTTCCGCGTTTACAATATTGCGGATTTTACAGTATAAAGCAATATTTGCCTCCTTCTTTATTGCATTAACAATCGAGCGTTCTATTTTTGTGCGCAACGAGCCATAATAATGTCTTTTTCGTCTCAAAATTCGCGAATTACCGTCATTATTACATCTGTAATGAATCTAGTATCGCTCATACTTGTTTCAATATTCTTCCTCTTATTATTATTATTATTATTATTATTATTATTATTATTATTATCGTTGTTGTTGTTGTTGTTGTTATCGTTGTTTTTGTTGTTGTTTTAGTTTTATCGACCAAGGTCGACTATACGGCATAATAATTGACTTGGACGCCGATCTTACGCAATATTGCTTGTTCAATTTAATCATCGTTGTTTTATTTTACTTAGAAAAGCCGAACGTGAAAAACTATTGGGAAATGCTGACTGGTGAGCCCAATGCGTACGAATCGTACAAGTACCAGTTGGACAGGTTGACCGATCTACGTTTGAAGCTTATGAACTTCGCGGGTAAACGTCTGTCAAAGAAATATGACGTCAAGACGGGAAATGGCAGTGTGCCGGCGCATTTACTCGGTAAGACTTCTTTCTCATAATGGAATATTTATGATGACGAATTTTTTAATCGTGCGCGCTGATTTTGTGTTTCGAAGGTTCCTTATCCGGCTACGAGTGGACGCATTTGGCACTGGACGTTGTTCCCCATCCCGATATTATGTTCATGATAAGAAAGAATTTTTGGGAGAAGGTAAAGAGGGTGACTTGAGAAATTGAAATAATTTGTTTTGGCAGTTGAATACTGTAAAATCGCGTATAAACGAATGCCACAGATTGGCGAATTTGCACGAGAGTCGTTGGAGAGTTTTAAGAAGCTTATCGCTTTTTTTGTTTTTCCTTCATGCATGTGTTATTGGTATAATTAATAATAAATCGTAGCTCTCTGATGATTTTTCATGATGAAATATTTAAAGTACTTTAATATCGGTTCGTTTCCGGCAATTTTCGTTTTTTATTTATATAAGCGATAATCACGAGTGGACAATAATGTTAATATTAATTCGTCGTCCTTGTAGAAATTGTTCGGCAAATCTTTATACAAGTCTGCTGCTGCGTTGGGTAAGAGATTCTTAGGTTATTCTCCGAAATCAGATTTTTGGAGCAGAAGCAACTTCAAAGCCGAGTGTACCACATTGCAATTGTTTAATTTTTGCAAATTAGGAAGTATGAGGTAATAATCCATTATACCAAATCCATTCTTTATCACCGCCGCCGCCATCTCTTTCTCTCTCCCCCCTTCTTTATCTATCTATCTATCTATCTATCTATCTCTCTCTCTCTCTCTCTCTCTCTCTCTCTATATATATATATATATATATATATATATATATATCTTCATATTATGCATGCGCCTATAGATGCGCCTAATGATATATTGGCAAATTGCTTTATTCGTAGTATATCTACTTGTAATGAGCCATCGCTGTCAAATTATCTGACTGCTCACAAAAACGTTGCCAAAATACTAATGCACCAAATGTCTTCCATAGTTCCCATTCTAAACGACGCTAATCGATATTCAGGTAACTACATTTTCTAACATTTACGATTATTATAATAATAACAATAAGCAAACGGAATTATAACTTATTTTTACTCTACTTAACACGCTACCTCTACTTCAACATATAACAATTTCTTTATTTTCATCAGTTCTCGATGAGGCGATCGCGGAATTATTTTCTATCCTAGCTGCGAGTCCAGCTTGGTTACAATACATAGGTTTAATTGACAAATCCATCGGATCCGAAGAAGCTAAAATCACATCCTTGACTATTACGGCTCTGGATGTTCTTCCGCGTTTGGCTTATTACATTTCCGTCGATAAATGGAGACTGGATGCCATCGAGAGAAACGAATCAAATTCAAAGCAGTTGGTTTCCGACTGGTGGAAAACTAGGTATATTACATTTGCCCAGCTAAGCTATAATCGCTACATATTTAATTTAATAGGGGATTTATGCGGCACAATGAATGATTCGTTGCCGTTATTTTTGTTATAATGCTAAGAAATGTACGAGGTTATGTAAAAGTCAGTTACATCGCTCATTTTTTTCCACAGACTGCAAAATGAATTTATAAATACCAGTAGCAGTGAATTGCCAACATTCTTAAACGATGACCATATTATTAGCAATAAACCTTACCTCTCGTAAGTACTACAGTACTTTTCATAAAATCCATTTTCATGTGCAAATGTGCAATTGCTTACGCGATTTAAATTAATTAATTAATATTTTACACGATTTAAACAGAAAAGTATTGGGAATCATGCTCGCCTTTCAAATGTATGATTACGTCATGAAATCAACCGACATAAGAAACGAGCCTTTTGACAAAAGTTCCTTGAATAGTAATCTTGTGTAAGTAATAAATCTTTCGTTTCGGCATCGAGACATTTATCGTTTATTTGTTTATTGTTGATGTTTTCTGTTGCTGTTGCATTTGTTATTGTTTTTATTTTTATTTTTATTTTTATTTAACTTAACACCGAATGCACGCACGCACGCACGCACACACACACACACACACACACACACACACACACACACGAATGAATAGTCGACTAATTTTGACATAATCCTATAGCTATGTTTATTCATAGTACAACGATAAATAATATTATATGTGCAACTTATAAAAGTCGATATATTATTGCAGACGCATAGTCCAGAATAATTCGGAAAACTGGAAGGCCTTGATTAGCAAATACATGAATATCGAGGCGATTTCAGTGCAGCCGATGATCGAGTACTTCGGCGAGCTCGAGTACTACTTCGAGAGCTATGAGGCACCGGAGCAAGTCTACGACTTCAGTGCCAAGGAAATCGAGCTCGAGCTGATCGAAAAAAAGCATCGGAAAATAGCCAATACGCCGACGACTACGACAACGACGACTACGACGACGACGACGACGACGACGACGACGACTACGACGACGACGACGAGGACGACGACGTCGACGATGACGACGTCGGGATCTACGACGACAACTGCGAGGCCGACAACGACGTCAACGAGGACCACGTCTTCATCAATGGGCAAGACACCAACGGCATCCCTTGGCAAGCTCCCTCCGAAGTCTAAGGTCTCCAACAGCATCCCGAAGGACTCACTGATCCTCGGCAAGTCAGGTGGGACGCACTCGAGCTCGGAAGACTCCGCGTCCGAGGACGGGGACATCGAGGCGACGCTCGAAGTCGACGAGGACGACGAGGCCGAGACGAAACCAAAGATCAACACGAACAAAGCCGTGTGGGCGGTGGCGGCGGTCCTCGTTGCCACCGTCGCAATCTGCGTAATCGCTATCTTCGGGAGGCGACGCTGCGCCCGTACGCCAAAGAATCGCCGATACGTGTAAATGAGAGACGGACCTCTTCCCAGGATGTCCCCTCTCGAGCTCTCGACATCTGGCTCCCCGAAGAAAGAGCCCGAGCATTAAAATGCGATTGGGAAAGCGAGCGTCGCCGTAATTGCCCGTTTTCTCACATTCCATTCAGCGATCGCCGAATGTCCTGTTCGCTTGCAAGGAAAGCGACGCGATAACACTCGCCCGCGTCCCGGTAGGCTTGGCGCTTTCGAATTGTGATGTGATGCGAATTGTCACAACCGAGGAGGGACTTAATCGTGACATCGCCGAGAGAACTACCGTGTCCCTCTTGGCTTGGCCGTCTGCTTGACGATTACGAACGGGAATTAATTAATTGCTAATGTTTCGAATCGCTGGATGCGAGCTGATGATGACGTAACGACCGGCTGGACTCGTCGTGCCGTTAAGGTTGCGCACGAAGGCAGTCGATGCCGGTCAATGGCCCCGCGCGCCCAAACTTATTGTGAAATTCGTCGTTAGAGAGCTTTTCTCCAAAAAGGAGCTGCTACAGCCTAGCAAGGATGTTGAGTGAAATTGCCATTACGGGAGAGATAGTTGAATGTTCGTTTGTTCGTTCGGGTGCGCAAGAGATGACGTTCATACATTAATATCAGGGAAACAACTTGTGCCAAATAAAAAAAAAAAAAAAACGAAAGAAACGAGACAAAAAAGAAAATACGGAAAAGGAAAAAAAAACACAAAACCATAGCGATTTTTGTATGCAATTTTTATACGATGCAAGGCACAAATACAGGATAATTCAACCCGTCAAAACTAACTAATTGGTCGATATACCACAAAGTCACCGATGGTCTGTCCGCCGCTATTCTATAGCTCTATTAGTCCGCCCCCCCCCCCCCCCCCCCCCCCCCCCCCCCCCCCCCCACACCCCCCCCCCCAACTT